CCCACCATGCGGCTGCTGCGCGGGGATCAAAGAAACAGCTGAATGCGGTGTCGCGCACCACTTCCTCGCGTAGCAGCGCCCGTCGTAGCCATGCGGTAGCCGGGCACGGCAGTCGCTGTGGGTCTGGCACACGCTCACCATGCGGCCCGCTAGTGGGGATCAAAGAAAAGAAGAAACAGCTGAATGCGTGCCGCCGCACCACTGTCCTTCCGGTAGCAGCGGCCGTCGTAGCATGCCGGTAGGCCGGGGCACGGGTCGCTGTGGGCTTCTGGCACACGCACCATGCGGCGCTGCGCGAGGGGATCAAAGAAACAGCTGAATGTGTTGCCGCCACCCACTTCCTTCCAGGTAGCAGCGGCCGCGTAGCCATGCGGTAGCCGGGGCAACGGGTCCTGTGGGTCTGGCACACGCCCACCATGCGGCTGCGTGCGCGGGATCAAAAAAAACAGCTGAATGTGTCGGCGCACCACTTCCCTTCCGGTTTAGCCAGCGGCGCGTAGGCCATGCGTAGCCGGGCACGTTCTGTGGGTCATGGCACACGCCCACCCATTGCGGCCGCGCGCAGGGGATCAAAAGAAACAGCTGATGGTGCCGCGCACACTTCCTTCCGGTTAGCAGCGGCAGATCGTAGGCCATTGCGGTTAGCCGGGGCACGGGTCGCTGTGGGTCTGCACACCGCCCACCATGCGGCCGCTGAGTGAGGGATCAAAAACAGCACTAATGTGCCGCGCACCACTTTCTTCCGTAGCAGGCCCGTCGTTGGCCATGCGGTAGCCGGGGGCACGGGTCCCTGTGGGTCTGGCACACGCCCACCATGCGCTGCTGCGCGGGATAAAGAAGACAAGCGCTGAAATGCTGTCGCGCACCACTTCCTTCCGTTAGCCAGCGCCCGTCGATAGGCATGCGGTAGCCGGCACGAGTCGCTGTGGTCTGGCACAGCGCCCCACCATGCGTGCTGCGGAGCGGAGGGGATCAAAAGAAAACAGCTGAAGGTGGTGTCGCGCAACCACTTCTTCCGGTAGCAGCGGCCGTCGTAGGCCATGCGTTAGCCAGCGGCACGGGTAAACGCTGTGGTCTGGCACACGCCCACCATTGCCGGCCGCTGAGTGGGGATCAAGAAACAGCTGAATGGTTGTCGCGCACCACTTCCTTCCGGTAGCAGCGCCGTGCGTAGGCCATGCGTTGGCGGGGCAGGGTCCCTGTGGTCTGCACACGCCCACCATGCGCGCCGCTGAGTGGGGATCAAAGAAAAAGCTGAATGAGTGCCGCGCAACCACTTCCTTCCGGTTAGCAGCGCCGTCGTAGCCATGCGTAGCGGGCACGGGGTCCCTGTGGTGTTGGTACACGCCCCACCAGCGGCCCTGAGTGGGATCAAAAAACAGCTGATGGTGTCCGCACCACTTCCTTTCCGGTAGCAGGCGCCCGTCGGAGCCATGCGTAGCCGGGGCACGGGTCGCTGCTGAGGTCTGGCACACGCCCACCATTGCGGCCGCTGCGCGCGATCAAAGAAACAGCTGAATGTGTCGCCGCACCACTTCCTTCCGTAGCAGCGCCGTCGTAGGCCATGCCGGTAACGGGGCACGGTCCCTGTGGGTCTGGCACACGCCCACCATGCGGCCGCTGAGTGGGGATCAAAGAAACAGCTGAATGGCGTCGTGCACAAAGCGGCCAACACACAAAAAATAAAGATATATATTTCGCGTATTTTAAGGGGGCCATGCGCAGGTACCCTGATGTCCAGTGCGCAGTGAAAGAGACGGGAATTTCTGATAACTGGAATTGCAGGCTTAGTGAACGACACCTCGAACTGCATCCAAGCAAGTGAACAAAGCTAACGACGATTCTGAAAATATTTCGTATTATTCTGAATTGAAAATATATAATTTACAAATAAGGATACTGAAATATAATGAATTCTTAGTAAGAAAATGTCATTATAAATGTGAAATTAAAAGCCAAATATTGAATGTAGATCTATAACCAAATATTGAATCTAGATATTATTTAGTCATTGAAGGAGGAATACTTATTACTTGTTTGATATTTTATCTATTTATACTTAATTGTTTTGGAAAGAGACAGTACTGTTTACTATTGATACTTTGGTAATTTTAGTAGGGGAGAAAATGGAAATAAAATTAGAGACGAAGTCAGTGCCTTGTTTTTATTTCAAACCAGTAAGTTAAAATCGACCATGTGACTTAGACGTATCACGTTGAATCAACAGCCAAACCACTCGAAACGGCTCCACCAGTTTTTTTAGATAAAAGGAACACGAAAATGACATGGGTGTAAAGATGTTGATATTTGCGTCAAAACCGATAGATTTCATCACTATTACAAAACTTTCTGTACATTATATATATATACGGGAAAGAAGAAAAAGGAAGAACACTTCATTTTATTGAACATTTCAAATCTTATAAATATACAAAAAAGCTAACAACTTGGTAACATATTTTGAATCAAAAATCAAATTACCAAAACTTGGTTTCGACTCATGTTCAGTCTCGTCCGGTAGAAATGATAGTTTAAAAAAGCCATACGTTTCTTATTCATGTTGAACACTGATATTGAAAGTTATACACGTGTGCTTCGCTTGCATTATTGTTCGTCTTACTCACCCCCTCTCAAACTCCGTCCTGTTGGGCCTGAGGTCGCAGTCGTCGGGCCAACTGCCTGCCACGGGCTCGCAGCGGTCGCGCGCCCAGTCGAAGAGGAGGTTGTGCCGGAAGCAGACCTTGTCGTCGCGGGTGCAGGGCACGGGGCGGCCGATGAGGGAGGCGTTGGCGAAGAAGCGCCGGTAGCCCCGCAGCCCCGCGGGGGCGGACGCGTCGGGCGGGGGGGCGCAGACCCCCGGGTCGGGCAGGGGGCGCAGCGACCACCGGCCGGGCGCCGCACCGCAGCCGCCCAGAAGGCCCCCCGCCACACCCAGCAGCCACGCCCACGGGATGCCCATTGCGGGACTCTGTCTCCTGCAAAACAGTCGACTCCTTTGTAAACAAACTTCCCCGCGATCTGGGATTGAGGAAGGGTGTTGACCCCTCAGTAATGTTTGATACTATCGTGTGTCCGGGCGCATCAGCCCCTAATATGATCATTAATACCGTATGTATAGTGCATGTTTTTATTACGAGAAGTGGCGGTGCCCCGTCGATGGTCCGGTCCGGAGCTGACCTACACGTTGAATTGAATTGATACCTTATTTTCAGAGGCGAGACTCGGGCCATCAGGCCTAGTGCTCTAAGCCCCGACGGATCTCTCGGGGTGCGTGGTAGTGTAGGGTACGTGTGTGTGTGTGTGTGTGTGTGTGTGTGTGTGTAAGCATGGGGAGAGGATATGACTAGGGAGATCAAGGAAAGATCACGCGCCGTCCATGGCCCGTTATTAGGGTACTTTTCCGGTATTTGGTTGGTGTTAATCGGAGAAACCACGGAAAACTACCGATCAGAACAGCCGGTCGCTAGAATTCCCCTCCAGACAGCGGCTGAATTCGACCCAGCTGTCGACCAAGTGCCGAAAATCCTTCTATCATCAGAACTCGAACCCTAGGACCTCGCGGTCAGAAGCTCTGCAGTGACATCAAATGATGCGTAGAGTCACCCATAAAGTCGACGCTTTATAGGTTAAATAGTTTTAAAGATATAGTGGTTGACCACGCGCAAAGACAGTGCGCAGATTTTTAGCAACACTGAGACCTTCATCGCTATTGCTAAGTAAATGAAACTTAGTTTCCTGGTACAAGTTTTTCGCTCTTTTTAATTGAACAAATTAGATTTTTCGATTATAACTACTCAGGGAAAATTGCAGAAAAGTTGCCGAAAAAATTCCTTTAAACACCTTCAAACAGATGTACTGACAGAATATGAAACGAAAATAGTTCCCAAACATTAAACATTGACGGAAACAATTCAATTAGTGGAAAATAAAATATGAATTGTACATACCTATGTAGATAGTTTATAATCAGCGAAAAACAAGCGGTGAAAAATTACAATCCCGCTAGCAGTCTAGCGTGTGATGTGTTGGGTGTCTGACCACGATATGTAGGTGTGTTAGCGTCAGTGCAGAAGGAAACCGAGGTGTAGAGATAGCGTTTCCTTTCCCTGACTCACTCTCGGTCGCAAAAATCCGGCTTCGGTGGCTCTGCGCATTAACTGATGTCACTACAGTGCCTCTGAGTTTCTACGTTACGAGTCCCGACGGTGTAGCAGAAGCTAGCTAGATAGATAGGTCGAATTCAGCCGCTGTCTGGAGGAGATTTCTATCGGCCGACTATTCCCATCGGTAGTTTTTCGTGGTTTATCTTGATCAGAAAACACCAGGCACCAGGTTAATACACTAGGAAAACCACGACCAAAGGAGCCGGTCGCTAGAATTATCATCCAGAAAGCGCCTGAATTTGATATAGCTGTCTGACTAGTGTCGAAAATCCTGCAACCGTCAGAACTAGAACCTCCCGGTCACAGGAACTGCAGTGAAATCAGTTGATGCACTGAGCCATTTTCCCGGTCCGGCTACTCGAAGACAACATTGGATATACACCGAACGTATGCTATATTTCGAATAAAACTATTATATGTGGTGAAAACTAGGGGAGATCTGTAGGAGTAGTACTATCTTTCAGCCGCTCCGAATCCTTGTTAAAATTTAATCGACGACATGGAGTGTGGAAAGTCATAAGAGGCCAAGTATCATTTTTTTGAAAAACAAAATATATGGATGGGGCTGTGTACTGTACTGTTACTGCAAAGAGTTCAAAGTCGACTCATGAAATAGAAGCTGGAGGTATGTTCAGCAACTGCTTCTCTCACAATTTCTCTCTTTATCCCATTATTTTGTTACTTATCCTCTTATGATTTTCCACTCTACAATTTCAACACTTTTAAAAAAAAAAGTTTTAAAAAAATGAATACATGTGCATGTACGTATTGTTATTTTTTGATTGCATACGTTCCGTTCCCTAATAGTGTCGTGGGTGTGCGTGTGTGTGTCGGCAGAGGAGCTGAACGCGAACGCGTTCACGCCGCAGGAGGGCGCGGGGCGCGACGGGCTGCCCGTGCTGCTGCCGCCGGCCGCGCAGGCACGCGCGCGCCGCCTCTACCGCGTCAACCGCTACAACCTCGTGGCCTCGGACCGCGTGCCGCTCAACCGCTCGCTGCCCGACGTGCGCAAGAAGCGGTCAGTACGCGCGCTCTCTTTTCCTGCTCTTCTCTTTAATTGCTTCCTTCTCTCTCTTTGCTCCTTTTCTGGTTTTTCTCTTTTTTATACTTTTCTCCTCTTCCTCTTTTCTCCTTTTCTCTTTTCCCTTTTCTCCCTTTCTCTTTTCTCTTTTCTCATTTTGTCCTTTCTCCTTTTCTCTTTTCTCCTGTTCTCTTTTCTCCTTTTCTCATTTCTCCTTTTCTCATTTCTTCTTTTCTCTTTTCTCCTTTTCTCTTTTCTCCTTTTCTCTTTCCTCCTTTTCTCTTTTCTCCTTTTCTCTTTTCTCCTTTTCTCTTTTCTCTTTTCTTCTTTCTCTTGTATTATTTTTCTCTCTTTTTTCTTTTTCCTCTCTTTTCTCTTTTTATTTTTTTTCCTTTTTATTTTATTTTTATTTTTTCATTTCTTCCTTTTCCCTTTGCCCCCGGGTGATGTTTTATGATGCATTGAAATATTTGTACTTTTCGTGATTTTTTAGCCGCTTTAATGATGTGTGCTATATCAAAAACGCTGCTTTTAAATTCTTTATTGAATGAATGAACGAATGAATGAATTGAATAAATAAATATATTCGTGAATGATGAATTTATGAACGATTGGTGAATGAATGCGAATATGAATGAAACCATCAGTGGTGTGTTATGAGTGCCTATATGAAATAATATATGAAAAGAGAATCAATTAATGAATGAACCAATGAGTGACTGAATTAATGAATACACAATGGAATGAATACGAACGTAAATCAAAGCATGAAAGATTGAATGACTCAGTTAAAGTATAAACGAAACCAGTAAAGAATGAAACCTAGAAAAAATAACATGACGGAAGAATGAATCCACAATAGGAGTCCATGAATGAAGGAATCCATGCATGAATCCATGAAAGAATTAATTCACGAAAAAATGAAAAAAGAATGAATGAATCCCCGAAAGAATGGTACGTCGGAAGAATGAATGCACCAAAGAATGAAAACGAATGAATGAATCTACGAAAGAATCTGCGCAATATTGCATCCCCGAAAGAATGAAAGCATGGCTGACTTGGGGCGTGCGCAGGTGCCAGGGCAAGTACTCGGCCGAGGGGCTGCCGGCGGCCAGCGTCGTCATCGTCTTCCACAACGAAGCGTGGTCGGCGCTGCTGCGCACCGTGCACAGCGTCATCGACCGCTCCCCGCGCGCGCTGCTGCAGGAGATCATCCTCGTCGACGACGGCAGCTCCAGAGGTAAGCAGCCAAGTCAACGGAATCGAACCGAACCGAACCGAACCGAACCGAACCGAACCGAATCGAATCGAGTCGAGTCGAGTCGAGTCGAGTCGAGTCGAGTCGAGTCGAGTCGAGTCGAGTCGAGTCGAGTCGAATTGAATTGAATTGAAATGAATTGAATTGATGCCTTGTTTTACGTGGCGGGACTCGGCCCATCAGGCCCGCTCTTCCGTCTAACCACGCAAATTTCGCTACGCTCCTTGCACCAACTAGCAGAGAAAGGAGGTATTTTTTGGGCGACGGAACAGGCGATTTGAATTTAGCTCAGAGGCTACGTCATTTAGGCTTGAGGATCTTTTACATGCAGTAAATCGACTAACCTGGGACAGCCGGCTTTACTTCCCCTCCGAAGGAAGGCGTACAAAGAAACATCCATGTTCAAAATTAAAATATTCATGTTAATAAAACATCGCACATAACCATCGGTGGTTTTAAATACCGACGCTTTTGAAATGTTCACCATAACTTTTGATTCCATTAATACGCACGGGGGAAGGGGGTAACTTGACGGTGGTCGCGTTTAGTTGTTTTTAATTGATATTTAACTGACAAATAAAATTAAAAATTGAAAAGGACAATTGTGAAAAGCTTTATTATCTGATTGAGATAATAAATAATCGAAAATAATGTAGGCTGAATTTATCGACAAAACCTCTATTTTAATTACACTTCACGCTTAGGTCTGAAGAATGTCTAATTTACGGAGATCACAAAATTATTCTTCACTCAAAAATAAAATATCAACCTCGTACAAATATGGAACACAAAGAAAACATGTTTTAAAAAAAATAGTTCAACACGGGCTCCAAGTAGCGAACAAAGTAGTTCTGCTCAGAAGGTGGCATTTCTGGTTATTTGATTTTGAAATTTATTAGCACAAACCTTTTTTTTAAAAATTGTAGTACGCTGTACTAATAGTAAGCAAAGCAGTTCTAATCACATTCTAGGCCAATTTGCTCTCTTGTTCCTTTCATAACTAACTCAAAGACGAAAAAAAAGGTTTAATAGGAGGTTAAAAGGTTTGGAGTTGAACTCCAAAGTAGTGAACAAAATGGTTCTCTAACGCAGGCTGTATTGCATATAGCTGCTTTAGTAAGTAAGAGAAAGTCAATATTTCTAAAAATTAGAACTGAGTAAGTCCAAATAATCTCAAACTTAGCCTTTCTATTTGCTTTCGTAACTCAAAGAAGAAGAAAATAGTGAGTTGAAGTGGAAATAATCTGCAACGCAAGTTACTTTGGTTTCTTATTTAAAGACAGTCCTAACTGAACGCTGTGACGAACTGTGAGTAGTAAGGCCCAGCTGTGGATCGAGCGTGGTCGCTCTATGTGGGCTTAGCGTAGCGTAACTTATAAAATTAAATATATGAGGATGTTGTCAGGTATCAAAATTATATTTAATCTAGTGCATTAATAATTTCGATCGCGTAGCAATCATCCTCAGAGCTAAAAATAAAATTACAGAAATAAAATTTCCACCCTCTCTCCCTCCCTCCCTCCTCTCCTCTCACCCCTACTCAAACCTCCCTCCCTCCCTCCCT